CCGGGTCTGAATACAGCAGGAAGCCAAGACCCGGTGGGGGTCCTCCCCAGCCTGGGGTGCTGCGTGAGAACCAGAGTTGCCCTTCCGGAGAAGAGTCCCCCTAGATAAGCGGGTGCCCATGAGGCCAGGGGGCTGGGCTTCACAGGAGGCTCTCAGATGCTAATCCGGAGCGGCTGCTTCTGCTCCGCCTGGGTGTCGGGCAAGGGTGCGTCACCCAAGCATAGCACAGGCCCAGGTCCGGCCCTCCTGCCCCTTTGGGAGAGGATCTGCAGCCTTGCACCCTGGCCCCTCCTGGGCAGCCCTTAGTGACGCCCTGGCCTTGAGGGAGACCCCCAACCCTGTGCCTTGGGGAAAGCCTGGGTGGGGTAGCCCTGAGGATGGCGGGTATTGGGCCGGCATCGGGCAAGGATCGAGGGACACCCACCTGCTGAGTGACGTCCAGATGGCACAGGAGGACCCGACCCTAGCTGGCCGCATGTCTGCCTTGGGCAGGCGGTGGACAGACAGACCTGCCACTGTCACCGCTGTTCCTTCCTGTGGCTCTGGCCTTCACGACACACTGGTGAGCGCGTATAGTTGCTCGGCAAGGTGCTGAGGGCTGGGTGGGTGTAGGGTGCGACTCCAAGCCCTTGCTCTGGAGCCTCACAGTCATCAGGAGAGATGCGGAGAAAACACTGCTTATGCTGTGTCACAAGCTTGCACGTACAGAGAGAAGCCCAAGGAGGCTCTGTGGGTACGGGGTGACATTTGGGCAATATTTAGGGTGTGGTTGGCAAAAATAGCTGGTGTAAAACCCAGATTTGTGGGGAGAAATACCAAAAACATGTTTGGAGAATAGCAAACAGTTAATGGTTAGCCGAAGGAAGTTGGAGGCCAGAGCAGCCTGAGCTTGGTAAGAAAGCTGTTGACTCAGCGGGCTGACCAGAGACCACAACCAGTGTGGGTCCGGCCTCAGCCAGCTCGACCTTCGCTCCCTGTCCTCCTTAGAGCCCTGGCCCTGCAGTGCTCTCTCCAGCAGCGAGGCCAGGTGGCCAGCCACCCATTCATCCCTCCACAGTGCCATCCCTTGGGGTGGGTGGCCCAGCACCAGCTGACCCTGCAGATGGACAGGGCAGGGGCAGCTAGAGGCTGTTTCCTTCCTGTGGCTGAGGGAAGTGGGTGAGCATCCTGCAGGAAAACCTGGGAACTGCATTTCTAGCTGGGTGGCTGTGGGCCCGGCCATCCCTCAGGGGCTACATCCCCAAAAGGAAGCAGAAATGATACTGGCAAACACATGGTGAGTGGGCCTGGCTGGGAAAGGGAAGGCAGAGTCGTGAGCTCCACAGGGAGCAGGGAGGTGGGGAGCCTTCCAGAGATGGCGCCTGCAGCAGCCATGGGGCTGGGGGAGAAAGTGGGGAGGGGTCCTGAGGGTTCGCCACACTCTGACCGCCTGGCTGGGCTGGACACACTCGGCTGGGGCGGGGCTGCCGTTGCTGCAGATCTGCTGGAAGCAGTGCCCTCTGGGGCCTGGGCTCTGGCAAGAAGTTGTTGCTTCGTTGTCGACTCATCCAGGAGCACATTGCTGCAGCTGTTGGTCACGTGCTGGAGCTTTGGAGACGAAGTGCACAGAGGGCGGGGGTCCCTTCCCCTGGCTGCGTGGCAGCGTCTGTTCACATTGCCAGCTCGGAGGAGCCTGGAGGAAGGGCCGGTGACCCTCACATGGCCCTCCTGGCTGGCCGGCTCCTCCTCTGGGCCGGGTTGTGCCTCCTGCTCTGAGTGGGAGCATTGCCCAGCACCCCCACCTTATCTGCATCTGACTGACTGTCCTGGTTCGTGGGGAAGCCTCGGCAGAGTCTGGGGTTCCCAGCGACCCGCTCGCTCCCTCCAGAACGGGCAGCAGGTGGCAGAGGGATGGCGGGACTGCCAGCCAGCTGCTGGGGGTTCTCAGACTGGATCTGAAGCTGAGCAAATGATACCTGTGTCCCAAGGTTGCTGGGAGGATGCCAGCCAGCTCTGGGGACACCCAGTGGGGCTTGGCCTGCTGAGAGCCTGGCTCTGGGGTTCTCAGAGGCTCTAGGTGACATTCACCTACCTTCGGCCTCTGGTGTGTCTTCTTCATGAGGCACACAAGGTATCCGTCCCTACTGGAGCCCCTGGCCCCGTGGCCAAGGTCCAGAGGTCCTGGACCACTCCCAAGTCCTCTCTGGGCCTCCCCTCGGCTCCAAACCTGTTGACATTTGCATGGCCAGACCCATTAGGGAAAAGTCAGGCAGTCTTGAAAAGGTGTCTTGGCCCAGCCTCACCTTCTGATAGACTGTCTCACAGTCATCAGATGCCTCGAGGAACGTGATCTCTCTTGGGCACAAGGACCACGCTGTAAATAGCTTGACCTTCAGCCTGGACACGGGGGAGGGCAGGTCAGGCCTCCACTTTTCAGCAGTTGCCAGCGTGTTCGCAAGTGACATGGTGTTGTTAGAGGATGTTTTCTCTTTTTTGGACCCTGTTTCTGTCTCCACCACCAAGCAGCATTGGGACTCCAGAAGATGCCGGCCTGTCTCGTGTGTGTCACCCTGGAATGTGTTGGTCCCAGCCTGTTCTCCTGGGTCAGGCTGGTGCTGCCTGTAGCCGCTGTGCGGTAGCTGCTGTGCAGTAATGGTTGGGTCTGACCTGTGTTTGGCCAAGAGGTCCCAACAACTGCATCACACTCCCTGGCCCCATGTCCCCTTTCAGGGATGGTGGCTGTGCGGCAGAGTAGCCTCTGTGGGGAACAGCTGTGCACTGGAGTGAGTAGGGAATATCTGCTTGTCATGGGACCGCCTCGAGGCTTTGTGTGGTGTTCTGCTGCTGGTGGGAAATGAGAAGAAAGAAAAGAAATCGTCTGCCTCGAGCTTGTACTGTTGCTTTGCTGGGGAGGCCATGCCTTCTGTTCTCCGCAGACCTTTGCAAGGTGATGGCTGGGCTGGGCTGGGTTGTAGCTGCCGAGATGCAGGATGCTTGCTGTGACTTTTCCCAGGTGCACAGAGAAGCCTGGGTATGCAGATGTGGTCCACCCTCCAGGCCAGAACTGTGGAGTCACGAATGCCCTCTTTCTGAATGTGAACTCCCTGCTTAATGCTTTGGGAAGCACCCGACTCTCTGGTGGGTGTGTTCTAGAGCGCAGCTCTGCATGTTGGCTTGAGCGGGAGCTGGGAAAGGTGCCCACCCTGCCCAGAGGGGACAGTTCCTACCCGTACCCCATACACTCTTCCTGCGATTCCCCTCCTTTTCTGCTCGCTGCATGGCCTTTTTAAACACAGAGGAAGCAGGGGTTTGGGCAAGTCCCCAGCATGGCTCTTCTGGGCACAGGTCTCCATGTTCTGACTGAGTCCCTGTCCCGCCGCCTGCCTGGTCTCGGCGGGGGGGGGGGAGCGGAGCGAGGGGGAGAGGGAGAGCGAGGAGGAGGAACGGGGGGGGGGGGGCGGCGGACGTGGACGACTCGCCCACCCTGCATGCCTGGTTCCTGCTTCCCTTCCCAAGCCAGTGCTGCCCGAGGCCCTTCCTGTTCCCGCTCACAGACATGCCCACTCCTGCCGCTGGCACCAGTGATTCTTCTGAGTGAGGGGTTGGGATCTGGCTGCCTCCTTTGGTTGGACCCCTCATGCCCTGGGGAGGAGCACTCGGTGTCTTGGTTCATCCTCAGCGCCTGCATTCCTCCTGCCCCCGGTCCCATGAGCCTGTGCTGTCTCCACTCCATGCAGGGTCCACGCCATGGCAGCTTTCTACAGAGTGACCTGGGAGTGAGTACTGTTGTTTGGTTGGCTTTTCCTGTCCAGCTGTGTGCACCTGGGGCGCTTGCTCCCTTTCTAGGTTGGCAAGACCACTGCTGTTCTCATGGCCACTTACATCGTAGGTGGCTGATGTCAGGATTAGCTGGCAGTGAGCTAACACTTACCCATTAGCACCTAAGTCTTCTCAGGGTTTCTCGTTTGATAAGTGAGCACTGGGGTGGAGAAGTGGGGTGACGATCACAGTGTAATTACAAGGGCTTTGGATGAGTCGGTCTCCGATATACACGCTCTCGTGGATCCTTGGGCGGCAGGCGCAGGGGCGGACCAAGGATAGCTGTGCGTGGGAGACGGCCACTCTCAGCGTGGAGTCAGGTATTAAAACACCAGGAGGCGGAGCTTAAGAAGCACAGTGCCAGAAGCTCTGGGGGCGAGATTAGCACCAGGGTGTCGGGGAGCTGGTGTCCAAGCGGTGGCTCAAAGGGGGCCACTCTTGGCGTCATGCTTGGATGCCCCCCAAGAGTACAAGGGTCTCGGGCAGGACCACAGCTGCTGTGTTCCATCACGTCTCCCGGGTGGACGGGTGGACAGACAAATTAATACACTAAATGCGGGCGCGGTTCTAGCCAAGGGGAAGCGTGAGTGGTAAGAGTGGGAGGAAGGAGTCGGGCATAGAGGTGAAGTCAGCTGGTGGGGCCGAAGTGCAGAGAGCTTGAGAGAGGGCCCCGGAGGGAGGGCCCAAGAGTGCAGGCTTCCTTCCCAGAGTGGGCACTCACAGCAGGGGGGCGGAGAGTTTTTAGTTTTAATTGACATGCAGTGATTGTGGATGTTTACGGGTGACAGTGTCACACTCAATGCAGTTTCTCGTACGGTGTGCCGTGAACAGATCAATTAGCATACCCATTGCCCCGTTATCTTGTCCTTGTGCTGAGAACATTCAAGATCCTCTCTACCAGTTGTCTTGAAACACAGTCAGTCGTCAACTACGGTGACCCTACTGTGCCTCAGAACAACAGAAATGATTCTTCTATCCAACTGTGCCCAGTATCTGCTAAATGTCACCTCCCACCATTCTAAGTCTTGGGAGTAGAGTCTAAGGTGGGAGAAGCCCTGGTGTGGCCGCAGCAGTCTTCCCTGGGCTGTGGACTAGTGAGCCAGGTCGCCAGCTCCCATGGGGCCCCGGGTTCAGCGGGTAGCACAGCGGGCGGGGCCCGTCCTGGCTCTCACTCTGCGACTTCCTGGTCTCCCTCCCTGCAGACGTGTGCAACAGCACCGACCTTCCCGAAGTGGAGATCATCAGCCTGCTGGAGGAGCAGCTGCCTCATTACAAGCTGAGAGCCGATACCATCTACGGTTACGACCACGATGACTGGCTCCACACGCCCCTCGTCTCCCCAGACGCCAACCTCGACCTCACCTCCGAGCAGATCGACGAAACCCTGAAGTACTTCCGTAAGTCGCCACCCTGCCACGTGTACAGTGGGACGAGGGCCAGGGAGGCCGTGTGGGCCGCTGAGTCCTGTGGCCTGCCGCCTGTGGAAGGGGTTGAAGAAATGTGGCCAAAGGCTTAGACATGTGCAGGTCTTGAGGTTAAATGTTCTGAGTAGAAGTTTTAGGGTTGTGGGGACCAAGGAGGATTTTCATTTGAAGCAGCTTTCTTTGAACTAATCCAGAAGAATTTGAAAATGTTCCCACTTTCCCTTATAACCGGTGTAGCACGTTGTGTTAGTTAATTTCTCATTGCTGAGACGAAGCGACAACCACAATTAAAGGAGGAAAGGTGATTTGGGTCACAGTTGGTAGAGGTTTCAGTCGATAATCAGATGTCTCCAAGGCGGGGCGGCGCACAGCAGGCGACTGCCGAAGAACAACAGTCCATGGCCAGCAGAAGGTGGCAAAGCAAACGCCAAGCGGCTCTTTCTGTCCCTTACATTTCTCAGGCTAGCCGACCTTAGGGCGAGTAGCACTCATACCCTTAATCCTGCACCCTTAACCCAGCATCACACACTCTAGATCCATAGAGCCAGCCAGCTCTGCAGAAGCTGCATAGGACTGCATGAGGCTTTAGGGGACATCTAGGCACAGCCACAGTACCCGTGAGTCCCCGGAAACTCCTAATGGCAAGGAGTTTGTCCCCACTGAAAACCAGAGGCATTGGGGACATCTAGGCAGGGTGGCAGGTGTGTGGGGCACTGGGCTGCTGTGTGCAGAGCTGCTGCCGGGGTGAGCCGTGCCCTGGGCCTGTCCTTCCCAGTGTGTTCCTGTTATGCAGGGTCAGGCACGGTGCTGGGTGCTGCAGACTCGGTGTTTATTTACAGGGTGCCTTTTTGAAGCGATTTCACTCTCACAATTCATGCCGGCCCCACCATTTACACATCTGTGTATCGTTGTGTCCCCTTGAAAAAAGAGTGTAGCAGTCTGCTTCTCCACAGATGTAGCTTGGTCCCAAACCAGCTTATGCGCATCTTTGAACGTTCTCTGTGGTGATCAGGAATAAGGCCAGGCTTTCCAAGTTCTTGAATTCGTGAAGTCGTTTGTATGACTGAAAGCCCCTGCTCTAGGGCGTTTTCAGGCTTTCTCCGTTAGGTACCAGTAAGAAAGAGGTGTGATTTAAACTGACCAGTGGCTTCATGCCTGACACAAACCTGTGTCTTTGTGTGAACACTGCAGACAGTTTCAGTAAGGAAAATCGGGTACCTGGGGGCTTGTGTGTCTTGGGTGCACGTGAAGCTCTTTGCAAGCCGCTTACGTGTGCGCTCGGCATGGATGCCACACGGAGATGCACTGTGTGTGGGAAACCGAGTCCAGAGTAGCCCTCCGTGGGGGGTGCTGAAGGCCTCCCCCAGAGCTACTTGGTGGCCGTCTGTCCGTGTTGCCTGCCCCGCGTTAGGGGCCCTGCTGGGATTCCGGGCTCCTGGCCCGCTCTCCGCCCTCGGATTAGTTGCTGACCCTCGTGTGTCATCGCAGCAGCCGCAGCCGCCGGGGGGGCCACTCTGGGCTCTGCCTCCTGGTAGCCCTGTTGAGCACCTCCAGTCGGGCAGGGCTGGGTCCGCATGGGGAAGGGGAGCGCGGGAGGCTGTTTGCTCCGTAACAGGACCCTCAGTGTCTAACCTCTGCCTGACAGCGAACCCGAACAGATCATTGCTTTCCTTTGTTTAGTTTTTAGTTTCAGATTTAAGAAAAAATACTGCTGGTGGATTTGGCAGTGGACAATACACGTTACAGTGAAACTAGACTGCAGGAAACGTTGAGCAGAGATGCCGACAGCTTCTACAGCATGGCTGCCTCCAAGTCTTCCCTTGTTGCTTTACTTTCTTTGGTTTCTGTGTCTGGAGCAGAGCGAGCATTTGCTGGGGTTCTATTAATTGAACAATCAAGCATTAACTCTTAGCTGAAATCAGGGTCTAACTGAGGTGCTGGACCCCAAAGGTCAAGCAGAGAGTTGAGGGGTTCTGTGGACTTAGAAAGGGAGAAGGTTGACCTCCATCCCTGGTAACTTCCCATCAGAATGCAGCATTTGGCTTCGTTGTGAACCTAGACAGCAGAGCATGGCGGCAGCAGACCTGCCCTTTGTCCCAGTCAGGAACATAGGCATTTCCACATCCCGGCGGCAGACGCTCTGAAACGTGCCTCCACTCTCCCTGCTCAGAAGTCACACTGGTTATTAGCTGGGTGATAGACACTGTTGTTTAGTGCATTAGTGAAGAGGTACTTACAACACAGACCACTTCCGTTCATGTCACAGACTTTTCATCCCCTGGCCACCACGTTAGCACCGGTACTTTCCTTTGCGTGCTGTTTTCCGTCTTCGGATCTTTCCTCCGAGGAGGGGTCAGTGAGCCTTGCCACACTGGCCAAGGGGCTAGGGGAGGCCAGGTTCAGAGCCCTGCTGTGGGCCCGGAGTCCTGTTGGGTCTTGTGTGTTTGTTTACATGTGTGTCGCCCAGGAGATGTGTGACTGTAACAGCGCTGGGAGTCACCGTGTGTCACGTCGGTGGGAGGAGGAGGAGGAGCGTGAGAAGATGACGTGACCCTCCCTGGAGCTAGGCTTCCCTCCTGCGTCGCTTAGGACAGCGGGTCTTGCTGTGGAGGGGGTCGAGACAGGAGCGCTCTGGGGCTCTGTCCCCGCCCTAGGCCAGCACCTGGACGGAGGACGGGCCACACCTGCCCTTGCTGGGCTTGCTAAGAAGAGGGCAAGAGCTGGGGCTTCCGACTTTCGGTGGTGGAAGAACGACCTTCTCCAGAGTCAGCCTGCCCAGCCAGGTGGCTTGGAGTCCCCATGAGTCTGAGAAACACAGTGAAAGCGAGCCACAAAGCAAGTGTGCCCATAACAGGGGCACTTGAGATTGGATGGCTGAACAGGAAGAGGAGTCGACATGGGCTGCTTACTGTGCGGCAGTGTTGTAGGGCTGTTCCTGCATCTCCTTCAGGCCCACGGTGACCTCTGAGTGAAATTTTCTGGTAGTCCGGGACACTGAGGTCCGGGAGGAGGCTGCTTCCCCAAGTCAGCCAGCAGAGGGTCACTGAGATTCAAGCACAAGCTGTCCGGACTGACTCCTGCCTTAGCCACGCTCAGAGAATGGGGAAACATTCTAGTGTCACAAGCTCATCTGGTGAAACAAGAGCAAGCACCCACACTCCGCAGTTTCACGATGCGCTAGCAGCTTGTCTATTTGTAAGACATGTGGCCAACGTATACACAGGCCTGTTTTTCATGGCTCAAGGTCACTGACCCAAGTGATACCTGAAAATAAAGTTTCATTCTTCTCCGTGATTTCCACTCAGTCCTGCCTTAGCCCTCACACGTCCCCAGCTCAGATCGCCTGCAGTCGGCAGCCCCCAGATGTGAAGGTTGCTGGGCTCGTTGTCAGGTGGCTGTAGCTTCTTTTGTGTCCTCCTCCAAGAGGCACTGTTCAGGGGCTAGTGAGCATTGGTGAGGATCACATGCATTTGCAGCAGGTGACCTGCTGGCCACCCCACCTCTGAGGCTGCCTGCAGCGGCTCCCCAAGGAGAAGAGAAAGTCGTGGAACAGATAGGAGCTGGCTGCAAGATTTGCTCCCGTGTTTGCTTTTCCAGTGAAGTGCTGCTGCTGAACCGGCGAGTCTGTGTTTACAGAGGGCCAGCAGGTGCTATGCTGCTTGGAGAACTTGTCCTGTTTGAGTTTCAGCTGAGAGTATTAACCAAGGAGATGAAAGCATCTCCTGCATTCTTGATTCTCGTCCAGGACCTAACCCGGGACTTTGCACTGGGCTGGCCGGAGGCAGGGAGTGTGTAAGGTCCTCACTGGCGTCCAGGCCAAGTTGCTTACCTTGCTTGTGGGCAGGGGGGAGGAGGGCCTGGGAAGCTGCATGTTAAACCAGCTCCGCTGGCCAGTTAAATTTTCTTAAAATTAAATTGAAATTAAGGAAAACTATAAAGACCATTAATGTCTCGCAGCCATCCTTGCGCAGGGCCCGGGGCCTGGGTGCAGTGACTTGCTGAGTGCCTGGAGCTGCCTGTGTGGACCAGGAATCACGTGCGGGGCTCCCCCCGCCCCCCAGCACTGCGGGCTGTGCCCCTAAAATGAACCTGAGGTGATGTTACACCCCGTCCACGTGGTCACAGTCTGTGGGCCCATTTGTGGGTGGGTCCAGGGCTTGTCCCAGGGGAGAGGATCCTGGGGCTCCCAGGACTCTGCAGACTGTACCTGGCCTGGGCCTGCTGGCCGCTTGAGTGGGCGCGGGCCATCTCTGTGGACACGCTCCCAGGCGGCTTCTGGGCTCCTGGTTCCAGTTTCCCTGTCTCCAGCCGACTCTCTGCCTCTTGCTCCCTTCCTCCTCCCTGCCCCAGGGGCTCTTGACCCTGACCCCCGAGGAGCTCTGAGGTTCCTGCCCAGCCGGTGCCAGCAGGCAGGGTTGCTCTCGGCCTCAGCCGTGCTGTGCTCGTCTTACCCCGGCATGGTGGGCAGCGGGCAGCTCGAGGGGCAGTGCTGCCTTGGCTTTGTTCGCCCTTCTGTATGGAGGGCCGGCCCAGCCCCGCCCCGAGCCTGCAGCTGGAGCGTGGAGAGGCGCCGCCGTGCCCCTGCTTCCGGCTGCTGGCAGACCTCTGACCCAATTGTCCAGAGACGCAGCCTTCCAGGCTTTTTGTTGGTGGGTACCAGGTGAGCTCTGTGTGCCATGGACTCACGAGGGGTGGCGACTCCTCCTCCTCGGCCCTCCTCGGCCCTCATCGCTGGCCTGCTGTTCTCATTTTCAGCTAAGTCCATCTTCTGCTTGGCTGGGTGCATGTGGACCCTGGTCAGCATCCTGTCCCGGGTCTCCTCGCTCCCGTCTTTGCCTTAGCCATTACCTCCCTGCAGGTGGCCTTCCCTTCTCTCTCACGGGACTGGACCTGGCTTGTCACCCTCGCCGCAGCCTTCCTGATGCTCACACAGCTACCTTGGAGGCCCGTGTGGGGCCCAGAGCCAGAGCCAG